CCTACCCATCCCCGAAACCTCTGTGATTTGGTCCCCAGCTTGGCTTCAAGGGTCAAACAGACTAATGAAAACAAATAAATCAGTCACTGAGTGATCAGCCTGATCACTGGGCCTGGCCTCTTGCTAAGAATTTTATCTGAATTGTCTGCTTTAATCCTCAATAGTTTTCAGTCCCACTTACAGACAGAAAATCGAGGCTGCAAGGTAAACACGTCCCTTGCTCCATGGCTTCCCTTAGGGGTTTGCAGCCTGTCAGTCTCCTGCCTCCCCAGCTTCCTCAACCATGCCTGGTTTCCCCTCTCTTCCACCCCGTCTCCTCTGAACAAAAAAATCCCCACAGGTTTTTTTCAGTCCTCCAGGATATACCTCGAGAGCCCCTTTGACATCCCCTTTCTCTCACCCTCTACCCTAGGGCTATACCAGGAAGAAGAAATACAGACCAAGCAAAGTTGAAGACAGTGGCAATATTTGGCAACCCACCAGCCAAGCTTATTGTCCCCACAGCATCCAGAATTTAGGCTAGGTGAGGTCTCTACTGGCTCCACAGACATCTCGAACTCTCCCCCAAGTCTGATGTTCCTTCTAGTTTCATTTTAGTCAATGACACCTTCATCCACCCCTCAGTCAGGCAAGCCACATCTGGGGTGTCACCTGGACTTCCACCTCACCTTCTCTCTTCCCATGCTATCTCCAGGCCTGCCCCTTTCTCTCCATCCCTACTGTCCAAACTGTGCCCAGCACCCGGAACAGTGCCTGGCACATAGTAGGTGTCCAGTGAGCATGTGTTGAATGAGTGTGTGCATAGTTCAGGCTCTTGTCAGCGACCTCCAGCCTTCCGCCCTTCCATCCTCTCTTTACTCCACAGCCAGAGAGAGATGTTGGTAAACGTCAGTCTAACCCTGTCCTACTCTGGTTCCAAATCCTCAGTGCCCCCACTGAGCTCAGAATTATGTCAGCACTCCCTCTCCTAGCTTGCAGGACCCCAAATAACCTGGCCCGGCCTGCCTCCTAGCCGTCTTCCTCCACCCTGCTATATATAGATATTCCAGCCATAACACCGTTCCTGTAGGCGGCCAACTACACCAGGCTGATTCACACTTGTTTTTGCACAAGCCAGGCCCTCTGCCTAGAAGACCCCCTCCCCATCCCTCCCCATCTGCCCAGGGAACTCTCCCAGCTTCAGGAGCCCGTTCGAAGGTCATCCTGGCTAAGAGGCCCAACTTGACCATCTTGTGGCCTGTGACAGCGCTTCAAGTTCGGCTGTTGTTTATGGGTGTACCTGGCTTCCAGTGGGTAGATAGCATCCCCAGGCCAGAGGGGCCTTGTCTTACTCATCTCTGTGTGGTGCTCCCAGCACAGGCCTTGACACAGAAAGCAGGAATACAGGAAACATCAGTTAAGCCGGAGGCACTTGGAAGGCCACATCTTGGGGCAGGAGCATGCTCCTGAGTGTTTATCTTGACCAATCCAATTCACCCCTTAAACCAACAAGGAAAAGGGTTTCTTCTCAACTTGGACCTCTTGGGAATACTAGGAGTTTATTTTCCTTTGTTTATTTTTACTTTTAGCTTGCTTTCCAAAGTGAGACTGAAATTGAGCTGCCGGTGGTGTCCTTCTCTCCTACCACAACTTCACGGATCCATCCCCATAGCCCTTGCTTCTTGACCTGAGTCAGGCATCTCTCTTGGTTGCACACAGATGATTGCTTTGTAAAAAAAAAAAAATGGAGTTGGGGTGCCATTCTGTCGCCAAGGCTGGAATGCAGTGGCACGTTCACGGTTCACTGCAGCCTCAACATCCTGAGTTCAGGTTATCCTCCTGACTCAGTCTCCCATGTAACTGGGATTGCAGGTGTGCACCGCCACACCCAGATACATTTTTTATTTTTTGTAGAAATGAGATCTCACTGTGTTGCCCAGGCTGGTCTCAAACTCCTGGCCTCAGGCAATCCTCACGCCTCTGCCTCTCAAAGTACTGGGATTACAGATGTGAGCCACCGTGACCAGCCTTTGTAAAATATTACTAAATCCTGACAGCTCTCTAAGACAGCAGGATTTGGTTAGAAGGTGCAGTTGCTTTCAATTTATCTTGACCTTTTAGGTCAGAGTGCCTGGAGAACACAATGGGGTGCCAAGTCAGTTATTTTATTTCCAGTGTGCTGCCCCACAAGCCTGGTCATTCTGTGACCTGCAGGTGGAGTATCCTGCATCACCTCATGTACAGGGGACTGGCATGCAAGCCCTGCAAGGGAAGTGGGAATCTAGACCCCTGGACTTCCTGACAGCACACAGATACCTGGTGCGTGGAGACTCACCAGATACCTGGCATTTCTATAATGTCTTCTTCACTGATTTGTAAAATGTCACAGATGAACGAACTCTTAAGGGTTATCGGGGTCAAATGCCTTACTTGGCACAGGGGAGATGGAAGCCCAGAGGGTGCAGGATCAGGCCAGGCTACATCAGTGAGTTAGGAAATGGCCAGTAGGCGACAGCTTGATAGAATGATGGGATGGCAAGGATAAGGACTTAGTGCTGGACAGACTGAAGCTTGAACTTGGGCTCTGACACTTACTGTGGGACTTTGGATAAAGGCTTTCCTATGTTTCTGCCTCAGTTTCCTCATCTCTAAAATGGAAACCATCATAATCACCAGCATTTATGCAGCACTTAGGTGTTACATATTTCAACTCAATCTGTACCATGACACTCCAAGATACTATAATCATCACTCCACTTTTTAGATGAGGAAAGCAGTGAGCAGTGACATCATAAAACTTGCTCAAGATCATAAAGAAGAGCGCAGATTCCACCCCAGGCAGTCTGATTACTCCACATCAGGAGTCAGCAAACTGGCAGGTGGGTCAAATCTGGCCCACTGCCTACTTTTGTAAACAGCTTTCTTGAGATATAATTCACAATTCACATACCATACAATTTGTATCTTTTTTTTTTTTTTTTTAGCTGAGGTCTCACTCTATTGCCCTGACTGGAGTGCATTGCCATGGTCATGGCTCACTATTGCTTCTACCTCCTGGGTTCAGGTGATCATCCCTCCTCAGCCTCCGGAAGAGCTAGGACTCTAGCTCACATTTGCTACAGGTGTGTGCAACCGTACCTAGCTATTTAAAAAATTTTTTTGTAGAGATGAGGTCTCTCTATGTTGCCCAGGCTGGTTTCAAACTCCTGGACTCAAGCAATCCTCTCTCCTCAGTCTCCCAAAGTGCTGGGATTACAGGCATGAACAATCATGCCTGGTCAATTTAGTTTTAAAGTGTACAATTCACTGTTTTGGGTTTTTTGTTTTTTTTTTTTTTAGTATTTCCAGAGTTGTGTATCCACCACCACAATCAATTTTCATCATCCAAAAAAAGAAACCCTGAACTTCTTAACTATTATCTTCCAGTCTCCCATGCCTCCCAGCCCTAGGAAATCATGTATCCACTTTCTCTCTTCAGATATGCCTATTCTGAACACTACATGAATGAAATCATACAACGTGTGGTCATTACATACATCTGACTTCATTCACTGAGCATAATGTACTTCAGGTTCATGTAACAGCTCTTCATTTCTTTTTTAAAATGTCCACATTTGCTACAAATCTTGTTTTCTGAATCCCATGTCTTCCGCTTTCTTATTTTTTCCCTCATAGAGTAATAGAAGATATGAGAAATTTCTCTGTATATCATGATATTAATCTCCAAACAGAACAGGTGTACCCAGCCTAATGAATAGGAAAGGTGCATACTAGATCACATCATTTTACATTTTAGAACACTGGAGGGGGTGAAAATATAAGGAAGGGAAAACAGAATGAATAAGACTTCTCCACAGCGTGAGAATATAGAAGCCAGTACAGCCATGCCTTCAGAATTATGAGTCGACATGATGGAGAATTCTAGACCTAATCCAGCTACCAAGCATGAAGTGAAAATCATATTTTCAGATGTTCTAGGCCTCAAAAATTACATTCCAAATGCCCTTTCTGGGGAAATACTTAGAAAGTGCTTTGCAAAAATGAGGGCATAAAACAAGAAAAAAGAAGACAGGGGTTCAGAAAGCAAGATTTGTAGGAAACATGGAAGTTTTTTTAGAACATTATGCTAAGAGAAAGAAGCCAAACACATGACTACACATCGCAGAATTCCATTCATATAAAATGTACAGAATAGGCAAATCTATAGAGAAGATTTTTTATTGCCAAATCATATTTTATGGAACAGAGGTATTACATGTTATATATCCATTTATCAGTTGATGCATATTTGGGTTGTTTCCTCTTTGGGGTTGTTATGAATAGTGCTTCTATGGCATCTGGGTGTAAGTGTGTGTGGACCTGGGTTTTCATTTCCCTTTCCACTTAGAAGTGGAGTTGTGGGTCTTCTGGGAGCTCTACGTTTAACCATTTGAGGAGCTGCCAGATCGTAGAGCAGAGCAGCTGCAGCACTTTGCAGTCCCCCAGCAGTGTACGAGGCTCCAATTTCTCCACATCCCTGCTCACACTTACCCTGTCGTTGATTCCAGCCATCATAGAGGATGGGGAGCGGTAGCTCATGGTGGTTCAATTTGCATTTCCCTGATGGCTAATGACGTTGAGCATCTTTTCTGCTTGTTTTTGTAAATAAAGTTTGGAATGCAGCCATGCCAGCTCATTCATTTGCATGTTGTCTATGGCTGGTTTCTCATGACAGAGGCAGAGTGGGTAGTTTTGACAGAACCCACAAAGCCTGAAGTATTTACTGTACGGCCTTTACAGAAGTTGGCTGATTCCTGCTCTAGACTATGGAGCCTTACAAACTTTGCTGTGAAGGTTTGTTTAGGTCAAGTTCCCAGCATATTGGGAACTCTCTCCCTCCCTCCCTTCCTTTCTTCCCTCCCTCCTTCTCTTCTTCCTCTCTTCCTTTCCTAGAGCTCTTTCTTGGAGCCAACAAGACCAGGCCTCCATCTATAGCTCAGCTTTCTCCCTAGAGCATCTTTCTTCACTTCTCTTCCCTCTAGGATGTCTGTCTGCAGGTACAGCTGCCTACAAGCACCTCTGTCTCCTACGAGCCTTCTCCCGGAGGCTTCCTAGGACAGGGGCTCCATAAGAGGTACTAGTCTGCAGCTCTCCTGCTGGCCCTTTACCTACCTGAGATGAGGAGGTGTCAACTCAGGGTTGATGCCAACTTCAAACTGAACTCCCTGGGAGAGGGGTGCCCTGTAGGAAGAGGCCTAGGAGGGAAGGAGGCTGGAGGTGGCTGGAGTTACCCCCAACCTCAGGATGGTAGCTCGAGGGTGCCAGTGTCTCTAGGACTTCTGGAACCCTCCCACAGAGTGTTAGGAGTCTCAGGATAGAGACAAGGACTGTGGGACACCAGACTCATTGCCCCCTCCCGAGTCTTCCTTGTACCAGTGAAAGTGTTGAAAGGATGAGGCTGGGGGGTCTCTGAAGTCGGGTTGGCAAGAGGAACTCAGGCCCAGGCCCGAGGAAAGTGCTGCTGTGCCCAAGTAGCAAGAAGGTCCTAGGCAATCTCCACCCCTGTCCCTCCCACAGCCCCAAACCGATAAATTCTGGCTGTTTAATTGCAATACAGCACACTACCCCCCCAACCTCCAGCATCCTTCCAAGGTAGAACCAACGTAAGGGTCAGGTTCTGGGCCCCTGACTGACATACTGACTCCACGTCTCCCAACTGTGTGACTTTGGGCTCTCACTTGCTTTCCCTGGGCTGTTTCCTGAACTTTACAACGGGGACACCGATGCTATCTACCTCCTTGGTTGCTGCGAGCATTAAACTCCATAATCCAGGTAAAGGGCTGAGGACAGTGTCTAGCTCAATAAACGTTCAGTTACTTTTATTTCTCAATGCTCGAGCATTCTTTCTGCCATAGGATTCTGACCATGCCAGTCCTCTGCTTAAAACCCCCCTGGGGACTCCCACTGCTGTGGGAAGGGAGTTTTGACATTAACTTTGCCAGCCTCATCAAATCTTTATCACTTGTGCCTGCCCACACCCCAACACCCGCTTAAATTTCCTGGCTCACCACTCTGGGCCTTTCCTGACTCTGCTGGGCTCTGTCGCCTCCCCTGGACTTCCTTTCCGACTCTCATGCCCAGTATGGAGGGCATACCATGGGCACTTCAATGCCCTGGTGGGCAGAAGTGGAAAGGGGCACTCATTTGATAGATATCACATGGTGGTTTGCAAGCCTCTGTCATAAAGCAGAGTCCCACCCCCTGTGGACTTTTGTTCCCAGTGGATTCCACTCTCCCTTGATGAATTTAAAAATACTTCTCATTTTTATGCCTCTCCAGATAGAGCAGATAACGTAGGAGGTGCGGATTTTTAAAACACGAGGCCAGTTACAATTGATCATATTTTAAACAAAAAAAATCCATGCTATTTAGAAGGCTAAAAAGTGGTTACCCTGGGGTGGAGCTGGCAAGGTGCTGGGATGTTCTGATTCTTTGATCTAAGTGTTAGTTTCATGGATATGTTCATTTTATGAAACTCAATTGAACTTTTCTGTGTGTATGTTTTCCCTCAATAAACACTTCAAAACTACATTTTGTTTTCGTAATTTCATCCTTCACTGCTTGGCAGAACTTAGATACAAAACTGTAAAATCAGAGGCAACAATCCTCAGCTAAATAATCCAATTCCATGAACATAACTTATTCTGCGTCAGGCCTTGTGCTGGGGACCCAGGAACTGAAGTTGTCACAGCCCAGTCCCCTAGGAACTCCTGATTTATCTGGGACAGAGAAATGTAGCTCAGTATGGGGGTGGGAAGGTCATAGAAGCCGATCAGAGAGGAGGGAATGAATGATTGCTTTCTAGGGAATTATAAAGTCAACAGGGACACAGGGACATAACAGAAATTAACAGGTTAATTTGGCCATTTATGTTCCAAATGCTTTTCCATGTAGCGGCTAACTTAATCCTCAAAGCAACAGTAACACTGGCAGGAGATATCATTTTTACCTCTGTGCAGTCGAGGAAAGAGTCACAGACGGGCCAGGTAACCCACCTAAGCATAACTAGTCAGGAAGCAGGAGAGCTGAGACTTGAACCCAGGCAGTCAGTTTGGGAATCCATGTTCAGCCTCCATGCCAAATTGTCCTTGGGGAAGAGAATGCTAAATTAAATGCTTGAATACACTACAGGGCTGGACATACAGATGTGCTCAGTGAACAACGATTATTATTGTCATTAAAAAAAACCCCAACCTACTTGAAGAGAAGTTAACCTGAAATTGTACGCGAGGCTTTTTGTTCCTTTATTAAGAGTGGTTAGCCGGGCTCGGTGGTTCAGCCTATAATCCCGCGCCTTTGGGAGGCTGAGGTGAGTGGATTGCCTGAGCCCGCGGGTTCGAGACTCGCCTGGGCAGGCGAGACCTCATCTCTACAATAAATCAAAAATTAGCCAGGCGTGGTAGCGCGTGCCTGTAATTCCGGCTACTTGGAAGGCTGAGGCGGAAGGATCGCCGGAGCCCAGCAGGTTGAGGCTGCGGTGGCTGAGAGCGGCCACTGCACTCCAGTCTGGGCGACAGAGTGAGACTCCAACTCAAAAAAAAAAGAGTGGTTGCTCCCTCTTCCAGGACCTTGAGTGCTCCCAGGTGATTTGCCAGACCCTACGAAGAGGAGATTTTGTATCTGGGCCTTAAGGATAAACTGAGCAGACAGGGGGTCAGGTGGGATGTGGGGGAGGGTGCACCAGGCAGACTGAGCTGCGGTAGCAAAAGTTCAGAGGTGCAAAACGGTGTGAGTTTGCAGAGCCAAGCCAGAGTTGCTCAGATGCTTATCGCCTGCCCTGGGACCTGCCCCTGACTTCATCCTCCAACTCTTAAAAACTGGACCTCGGCTGCCACCTGGTGGCAACCCCCCGATACTGAGCGGGCAGAAACCACCAGCTGGAGTAAAAGTTGCCCACATCCTTCTCCTCTGGACTGTCCCGTCCTTTCTCTTTCCCCACAAATAGACTAGCTGTAAAAGTGATATAAAAACAACTAAGATGAGTTTTTTAAATTTAAAAATACATTGGTTTCTAGGTACCAAAGCAACACATGCTCATCGTAGAAAATTTGGAAAATATAGAAAAGAATAAAGAAGAAAAATCGCCCTTGATTTCATCACCCAGAATAATCTCGATTAACATTTTGGCATATGTGCTTCCAGTGTTTTTCTCTGTATCTAATTTAGACATAGTTGAGGATTAGTGTGCATATATATTGAACTATACGTAGGTACATGTGTATGGACTTGATGTTTAAATGTACGTGGAGTATTTTTGTGGACAAGCCTTGGTGTGGGATTTCAAGTGGGTGTTGGGAGTCAGGCGCTGGTGGCAGGCCACTCTGAGTTTGCATCCTGTCTTTGCCTTTACTAGTTGTGTGACTTGGGTAGGCAACTTCTCTGAGTAGCAATTTCCTTCGCCATCTGTAAAATGTAGTTAACAATAGGACCCATCCCAGAGCTGATGCGGGGACTAAATGACATGACGTATGGTATGCAAAGTGCTTGGGATGGTGCTTGTCTCAGAGAGGTTGCTCACCAAGAATAGATTGCTGCATATGTCTTTGTCTTTCTGACTCTTAGCAGCAATCTCTAGAAATGGAACTGATTGCTGGGTTCAAAGGTAGGAAGAGCCACAAGGTTGCTACAGTTGGCCAAAATTGAGAGGAAAATTTCGAGCAAGATCTCGTGTCTCCAGCACCACAGCTGTTCTCATTTGTCTCTATATTCTTCCAGCCCTGTTTACGCAGAGCAGTTTTTAAGCATTGTAATTACCAAGCTTGCACCGGTTCCCTTAATGTTACATCATCAACATTTTCCCAAGCGGCTAAAGCTGTCACTGACGGCATTTGCCATCATTCACTTAACTATTTCCTTGTTGTTGACTATCTGAGCAGTTTAACTTTCCATTCATTCATTCAAGAGATAGTTATTGAATGCCTACTCTCTTCCAGGCACTGAAGTAGGCTTTGGGATATTGTGGTCAACAAGAACAATGCACCCTTGCTTCTGGCTGCTGGCCTCTGGCTGGCGAGACAGACCATGACAGGGAAACACACAAGTAAAACTCTAGCTATAAGCGATGGTGAGGAATGAGAGAGCACTCCTGGAGACAGCGACTTTATTTGCCCATTGTGTAATTTCTGAAAGTAATCCTTAGTCCCTAATTCTGGCCTGCTCTTTGCTCCTTCAGCAGCCATGGCTGAAACTTCTCTTGGGGGAGTCTCACATGCGGTTGGGGTTTTCCACGAACATTTTAGGGCTTTCTGAAAAGGTAAGGGTGCTGTGGGATTCAATGACAGTCTGACAATTGGGCTCAAATGGGACTTGTCTCCTGTCCTCCCTTCCAAGGTTTGCCTTTCAACCAGTCCAGTCTGCCCCTTGCCCCCTCAAAGAGGCTGATGATGATCTTCTTCTTAAGTCTGCTTGAAATGCACCTTTTCCTCATCTCCCCTTTCGGTACAGGGCCTCCACTAGCTCTGAGAGCCTTTGAACCAACGGGCAAAAGCACCCCAATCTGGTGACAGAGTCTCCATGGGAGAGGCTTGGTGGGCAGAGCACACTTGCATTTCAACCCCCGTGAGGACCCTGCCCACAGCTCTGCTGTGACCACCCCACCTAACTCTCTGCATGCCAGATTCTTACTCTACCTCGAAGACTCAGCTAATATTCTGTCTCTCATATGAAGCCTGGTCTGACTTTCTAATTCACAGTAGATTCTCCATTCCTCGAACTCCTGAGTCAATTTTATTTGTTACTCTGTGCCTCATTTGACACTCAACGGTATACTGCCATGCGATTACTCTTGTGTTCCTCCCTTGTATCATGATTTAATCTGAAGAAGCCTGATAGAGATGGAGATGGAGCTCTGCAGGTGTATCATTTATACTGAAGCAGGCAGAGATCTAGAGAGAGAATGTTCTAGGCAAAGGGAATGTGTTCTGAGGCAGAAGGCTTTGGGATGTAAAGCCAAAATGGAGATTTCAGTGTGGATGGTTTTTCCAGATTTAACGAATGATGTTGGAAATAATTTGTTGATTAATACATTCATACTACTTTCTGAGGGCCACTATGTCCAAGCCCCAGGAGATAGGGCTGTAGAGGTGATTCAGACAGGGTTTGTTTCTGCCCAGGAGAATGGAGAAGGCTGAGATTATCTCTAGACAATGTGGCACATAGACTTGGCGGAGAGTGAGTCATCATGTGTGGCTGTAGAAGAGGAGAAACAGTAACTAATTTCTGCCTGGGGCACTGAGAAGAGCTTGTCCAAGAAGAAGACACCAAAAGCTGAGTCTAAGCTTTCAAGGTAGAAACAAGAAGGAAGGGAAAGCCTAGATGGGGGGAACAGTGTGTATGGAGGCAGGGGTGGGGTGGGGATTTCAGAACTGGTAATTGGGGAGGGTCTCTTAGAACAATTAACATGCTTGGACTTTATCTGTGATGGTGGGAAACCAGAGGAGGTTTCTAAGCAGGAGAGTGGCAGGGCTGGCTGTAGTATGGAGAATGGGTGAGGCATGGCAGAGGCCAGAGGCAGGAGAAACCTGAATTGGGGTACTGATGAGAGGGAGAGATAAGAAAGATGAGACAGATCTCAATGTAAAATCTATAAGGCTTGGCAATGGGCTGGTTTGGGGTGGGGCAGATAGAGGAATAACACTTGGCAATTTTCAAGCATGGATGGCTGAATGAAGATGATGCCACTGCCTGAGACCTGGGGCACCCCAGGGGCACCAGGAGGAGGGGCAGGATTTGGGAGGTGAGGTGGAGAGAGATTGGGGGGGCAGTGAGGACTTGTTGGTACCACGGACAGCTCCAAGAATCTCCAGAGGTCTTGAAAGAGAATCCATCCTTGGTTCTTGACTTTGGCTGCCTTAGAGTCAGCAGAGGAGTTATTTTAGCATGCAGACTCCCAGACCTACCCATATGTTCTGCATCAAAACCTCCAGAGGTGGGGCTCAGGAGCCTTCATTCTACATAAACACTCCAGGATGTTCTGGTGCAGGTGTTCAAATGATCACACTTTTTGTTTGTCTGTTTTTGTTTAGAGTTGGGGGTCTCACTCTGTCACCCAAGCTGGAGTGCAGTATCATGACCACAGTCACTGCAGCCTCGACCTCCTGGGTTCAGACGATCCTTCCACCTCAGCCTCCCAAATAGCTGGGACTACAGGAGTACGCCACCATGCCCAGCTATTTTGATTGCTTGTTTGTTTAGTAGAAACAGGGTATCACTATGTTGCCCAGGCTGGTCTTGAACACCCAGGCTCAAGCGATCCTCTTGTCTCGGCCTCTCAAAGTGCTGGGATTATAGGCGTGATGACCATATTTAAACACTGAAATAAAGCCATAGTGGGCTCCAAGGGAACAGATGAGAGCGCCATCTGCTGCCAAAAAGGAGTTTTTGGTTTAAGTTTATGACTTGGACACTTCAAGACAGCTTATTCCTCAAGTGAAGCCCTGGGCCAAAGCAAAGGAACAAGGCACCAGAGAGATGAGGAGGAAGAGGGGCTGCCTTCCTTTATAACTTCTGTTTCTTTCAGCCTGTAGCACAGAGTGAGGCAAAATTCACCTGTGTGCAGTCAGTCATGGTCACTGTTGTCAGTCTGGGATGCTGTTACACTTTCCTAACCCCACTTCCTAAAAAGACAAATGTGGCTCCTTCAGGTGGGAGGGCAGAGCCCTTCCTTGTCTTGGCTTTAAATGTATATGACAACCCAAAATAATTGAAGCGGCTCAAACAGATATTTGTATACCAGTATTTATAGCACCGTTACTCACAATAGCCAAAAGGTAGAAATGATTCAAATTTCCTTTGACAGATGAATGGATAAAAACAAGGTGGTGCTGCTGCCCGCGCTGCCCCTGTCCAAGCCAGACATATAACTCAGCCTTGGAAAGGAGTGAAATTCTGACACATGTTACAACCTGGATGTACCCTGAAGACATTATGCTAAGTGAAATAATCCAGTCTCAAAAGACAGACACTGGATGATTCCACTTAAGTGAGGCACCTGGCCATAGTCAGATTCATAGAGACAGGAAGCAGGATGGCAGTCACCAGGGACTAGGTGAGAAGAGAATGGAGAGTTATTGATTAATAGGTACAACGTTTCAGTTTAGGAAGATGAGAAAGTTCTGGAGATGGATGGTGGCGATAGTTGTGCAACGTGAATGTAGTTAATGCCACTACAATGTACACTAAAAATGGTTACATTGGCAAATTTTGTGATGTATATTATACCACAATAAAAAGGTGACAAAATAGAAAAAGCAGTCGTCAACGTCCTCAACTCGAGTGCGAATCTGCAGGTCTTGTCCAGGCTTCCCCATCGGAGCTCCCGCTCAGCCCGGGACTCTCAAAAGACCAGAAAAGGGTTTCCTTCAGTCGAACACCTGCTGCTTCCTTAGGGCCTGGACTTCATCATGAGACTGAGGAGGGTCCCGTGGGTGGGGGGAGCGGGTTGTGCCGCCTCCGTCAGACCGGAAGATAACCCAGTGAGTGTGCTGGTGGGGGTGCCTAAGGTTCTTGCTTGAGATAGCTGTCTCTCCTCCCAGTCCCCAAGCTCAAGAGCCCCACGTAAGCTCAGCACCCGTCCACCCTCAACCTCACCTCCCGCCTTCCCGCTCCACGTTCTGCGGGCTCAGAAAGTCAGCGGCTT